ATTACCTCGATTTCATAATCTGATTCTTATTTAGTAACGAAAAGTCCTGCTACTGAGAATGCCATTCCGATTCAATTGATGTGAGCGGATCCGTGTAATGCATTTAAGAAAAGACAGATGATGCGTGTTTTTTCGCCTATATCCTGGAAGATTTCTAGGTCGTTTTCGAGATTGTTGTATTTCTTTTTCTCTCTAATATTCTTCATTTATCTACCTCGGCTGCTTTCATTAATTTAATAAAAACATCAAGCTAATAGCCAAATAATTCGGCAGTCCGTTTGTCTTTAATAATCATGTTTAAGAAGAAATTATACTTGCAGACTTTCGACTATTGATCATATTATCGTAATATTATTATTATTATTATTATATATTTATATAATTACTTGTCTGTTTAAATTTTAAATTTTATAGATGTAGGCGCGGTTGCAATGACAGATGAAAAAAAGAAAAAATTACAGCTTTTAAAAAGATTTTTTCACTTTCTAATTGCTTATATTTCAGTAGCTATTTATAAAAAACTTTAAAGTTTTGCTCACTACCTAACAAAACCATTTGATTTCGAACGAAATATTCACAGTTATGCTAGAGATATCTGGAACAGAAAAATCGGCTCAAGGAAATCGGAACCTTGATTCCTGTATAAGTGTCTATTAGTGACTTTTTCACTTGGCACGAAACCTTTGCTGTCACTCTCAATGAATTGATTGTATGCAACTATGTGGAGAGATCATTAACCGAATGAAATTGCTACATAAACTCGAAATGCATGTAATTAATATAAAATGTTAATAAGGTTTTTCGATTTATTATCGTTTTTTTTTCATCATAATTCTATCATCATTTCTATCATAATTTCATCATTTCTATCATAATTCGAACATTAAACGAAAATTTTTTTAAACAGGGTCTCGTAGCAACTAAAAATTCGATTATAAAATAATGATACAGAAAATAGTATAATAATATAGTATAGTTTTTTGTTCATTAAAAACTTTGAAATACTTGTGTGAGTACCAACATGTACATAAATAAACGCGATCATATAACTAAGATTTTCGAACAAACTATGTCAAACAACCAAACATTTCTTACATTTTCTTATTAATGTTGTAATTATTAAAGTCAATATACAATATTCAAGAGTAATATATGTTTAAATTAATACTATTCCAAAAAGTCATATTTTTCGTGTTTAAGAGCAAGTGTTATTCAATTGTCAACACATCAAAGCATCCAAAACTTACAGTCTGTTAGGTTGTTTTATCCTACCAAATTTTAGAAACATCGTTTCTGGGAAAATTTTTCCTCACTTTCAGAATTTTC